GATGGAGGAGCTTTGGCGCGAGGGCGGGGGTCTGCAAGCTGATGTTTGCTTCCTTCTGCAAGTCGGAGCACGTGGGTCCTGGGTTTAACTCCTGCCCTTTGGAGTAGGGGGTGGGGGTGGGATGCGGGGCTCAGCCCTGGAGCGCTTAGCCACGAGCAAGCCACCAAGAGAGCTTGGCTCACCGGGTGGGAGTGCAGGGCCCTGGCCCAGCCTCCTGGCCTGGCCTATTTTTAGCTCAGAGCAGCCTGGCAGAGGCGGCAGTGTGTGAGTGAGCAGCGTGTCTCAGCGTCAGTGAGCGTATGGAAAGGGCTACTACCTGCAGCCCGTCTATTCCCATTCCCTGGCCATGTGGAGACCAACTGGTCCACAAGAGCATCCAGCTCTCTCCAGGCTGGGGTTCCTGCCTCTAGCCACTCACTGCCAGGCTTCCCACCTGAGACCTCTGGGGATGGGCAAGAGAGTGGGGTGGTCCACGTTGCTCGGTCTGGCTGATAGAACTGGGTGTTCTTTCAAACTTCTGCTTCTCAGGGCAAGGGAGGGCCAGGTATCCTGGCTTCCGGACGTCTACGGAGCTGTAAGGTGTGGCTGTAGAGAGTGTATTGAGACCTCATATACCTGAAAGGAGGAGAATGAGGAGTGTTTCTGTGGGCTCAAGAAATAAGCCTATGTCCTGAGACAGGAGATTGGCTAAGATGACTTCTGACCCAGGAAAGGAAGCCCAGGAGTGGGAACTGTAGAAGCTAGAGGTTCTAAGAGCTGCTCCCACTGGCAGTCAGGACCTGACGCCTGCTTCTGTTGAGTGCTGAGGTGGGAGGGAGGAAGGCAGGCTAGCTGATTCGGGGAGCTAGGAGCAAAGCAGCACATGGGGGGACATGACAATGTTAGGGAGCCAAAGTGGGCAAGGAACTGGGACTCTGCCCACTCTTTTCTAGTCTCCAGAAATCTGTCTCCTGGGCCTGAAAGTTTGTCCCGAGTCCTTCCTGGTGTGCTACCAAGTCCGTAGAGCTTTTAGGCAAAAGCTCCGAGCATAGCAGGAGCTCCTACCCCAGCCTCCATGGGGTGGGGGCAGAGAAAGAGTGGGAAGCTAAGTGTACAGCAGAGTTGGGGGTGGGCGCTGCTAACCTCCACCACAACCTTCATATGCCCTTGAGAGCTAGGAGAGGTAGGGGCAGAAACAGAAAAGAGACCTTTCTGTTTTGTTTTAGTTTTTGGAGACAGGTTTTCTCTGTGTAGCTTTGGAGCCTGTTCTGAAACTCACTCTGTAGACCAGGCTGGCTTTGAACTCACAAAGATCCACCTGTCTCTGCCTCTGCCTCTGGAGTGCTGGGATTGAAAGTGTACACCACCACAGCCCATCTGAGACCTTTGTGTCGGGTACCTAGGACTCAGGAAGTCTGGCTTTCCTCTCTTCTGACAATATCACAATTCCCAAGGACTCAAGGTGTTTCAAGTCCCTGTCTAGAGCAAAAAAATAAATAAATAAAAATCTGTTAAGGGACCTGTCCCACCTCCCAGAGCCCTGCTGACCTTTTGGTTAGCTCCCAATACAGGTGCTGTGTCAAGCCACTAATCCCCATTCCACCCAGCATTGGTCACTTCGACCCCTCTCCAGTGACCACCCCACCCCTTCTCAGTCAGAAGGCAAGTAAGGAGTCAGATCCTAGCAAAGGAGTGGTCTCACTCCCACACACATGAAGTATCTTGTACCAGGAACAGCCAGAGACAATGCACATTTAATATTTAAACACACACACACACACACACACACACACACACACACACACACTGGCTCTACTGGGACCTTGAAATGTCACTAAAAACAGAAGCCACTGATTTCCCCTGAAGCAGGAAGTCACTTATAGCCCCATTGCATACATGCTATTTTTTCCTTGGGAAGAGTCCCCTCTCTGGCTCACATAGTCCCTCCTACTATTCCCACTTTCTAGGCGTCTTGTCACCTCCAGCTACCACTGCCAGTGGTGATGATGCCAAGTGATAGATATGAACAGATCTAAACCTTATCATTTGGGTCCTCACTGGACTCCTTCTTGCTTCCCCACAGCTGTTAGCTTTACCTACCCACAGCTGCCCTGAGAGAGCTGCAGAAGCTCTACCCCTATGGTGCCACTCTCTACCAAACCTTCCCCAGAAAGGGAAAAACCACCCATTCCAAGAGTCTGTGGAATTCAGCAACAACCAACTTAATAGACAGCAGAACAAGAAGAAAAACCAACAGCAGGAGGGTGGCTAGAGTTCATTTGGATCCCTAGCTACCGATCAGCTTTATATGCTAATTTCCCCTGGGGTTACCAGGGTTCTACCAAGGACCCCTCTTCATGTCCTATTCACCATTGGGACCACTTCCCCTGTTCCCTGACCAATCAAAAAGCCAGTGTGTGCAAGGCTAAGGAAACCTTAGAGTATTGAGGAGCAGTGTTGGCCAGGGGAGAGGTGTACTCAAGCCCTTCCTCCTTCGTGATGGGTGAGCCTGAGGAGGCTTTTTGCAGACAGGTATGAGCCCACAAAAGGTGGGCGGGTGAGCCTGAGGAGGCTTTTTGCAGACAGGTATGAGCCCACAAAAGGTTAATGTCTGCTTAGGGAGTGGACTGGAGGCTGAGGGAAAGTCCTCTGACCTCTCCTGTTATTTCTGACCATTGATCCAGGGTGGACCAAAGGACAACAGAGATCGATGCACAGAGTGGACAGAGCTTCTGAAAGGAAAGCTGAATAGGACGAGAGTGGGGGCAGGGAGGCAGTGCAGGGAAAGGAACATGTAGATGGCCCAGATGGTCTCTTGGGTTCCTAAGGACAGCTCACCCTGAAGAAGGGAATGGGCAAGTACTCCAAGGTAACCTGACTGTCTCCGAGAGATGTACAGAGTTGGCCTGAGTAGTGTTCCTAGTGACTCTGGCCTCTTCTTCCTCCTCCCCTAACCCAGATCCGGAGGCGCCGCCCCACCCCTGCCACACTTGTGCTGACCAGTGACCAGTCATCCCCAGGTAACCCGAAGGACAAGTGCCTGGAAGAAGGGGGGGGTCCCTGTAAGAGGGGATGGATGCTAAAAAGGAAGGGCAGACCTGTGTAGTAGACATTCGCCCCATGCTGGCTCAGCAAGATTTACTTTGCTTTTAGAAAGATGGAGCTGTGCTACAAGGGGAAGGGACCACCTGGTTCCTAAGCCCCCCAGGAATTGAGTTGGTCAACTGAGTACGGGTTGCTGTGACAACAGCCTTCTAGGTTTCTCCAGCAACTGAGATGTCACTGTCCCCACTCCCAAATGCAGTGACAGCTGTGAGGGGGAGAGACTGCCTCCATCATCTAGCATCAGGTCCCCAGGGGGTAAGGTTGGAAACAGCTCAGGGAGCAGATGGGATTCTGGTCACCAGAGTCCCCACCATAGTCTGGAGACAGAACAAGGTCTTGGAGAATGTCAGAGGAGCTTGGTAGGCATGGATAAGAGGTGACCAGGCTAGTCTGAAGTCTGGGATGCCCAAGTCTCCAGCCTCCCACCTTGCATAAATGATGCATATCTGTGGGCCTGATCAGAACAAGTTTGCTGTTCTCTCTCAGGGAGCCCTGCTCCTGTGCAAACTCAGCTCTGGCTTTGGGGATGAAAGAATGACTGGGAGGAGAGAGACCTGGATGCTGGAGAGGAGTGGGAAAGGCAGAAGGACCCCAAATCTGCCTTCACAGACCTCAAGCCCTGAGGCCGGGATGCAGACTTGGGCTGGCCACAGGGCCCAAGTCTTGACAAAGCCAAGCAGCAGTGCAGGGGGATCCAGAGAGAGCAGGCTCCTGGGACAGCTCAGGACAGAGGTGACCGCAGAGTCCCTGATCCTTAAGAACTGGGTCTGTGGGGACTCCCTGGGTTTCCTGCTCTTATCACTGTTTTTGTTGTTGTTGTTGTTGTTGTTGTTGTCTTCGTTTGTTGCTGTTGTTGTTTCTGTTTCCCCCAGAGATAGATGAAGACCGGATCCCCAACCCACTTCTCAAGGTGAGCTGGCCCCTCCCACTCAGCCCAGCCCTCAAAAGCCAAACCCTGGTCCTCCAGATCTAGGGTGTGGCTCAGTGAGAGAGAGCACCCACTTAGCTTTTATATAGGCCCTGAGTAAGCTCCCCAGAGCCCAAAGCAAAAACCTTGATCCCCACCTGTAAGGCCTTTGATGCCCTCTTCCATGTACCTCTGCACATGTCCCGCCTCCCTAGCACACACAGTCTCCACACCCAGCCTAGTGGAAACAGTTAAGAAACAGGGATCTTCTCTTTCTCCTGAAACCCACCTCCCCTGATCTCTAATCCAAAAGCTTACCAAGGCAGAGGAGGGTGGGAAGGGCCAGCACCCATATAGGCTCTGTGTCCTTCACAGTCCACTTTGTCAATGTCTCCACGGCAACGGAAGAAGATGACAAGGACCACACCCACTATGAAAGGTTTGGCATCAACTTTCCAATTTCCCTTCTGCCTGAAACTGGGAAGTAGACTTAGTAACCCTTTGCAGGGAATCCTTGGGTGGTCACTGGGTCTGCCTTTCTTTGAGTGGAGCTGTTGCTATGCGAAGGAGTCTCTTGTGGCCTTGGTGAAACTGATTCATAGCCCAAGCCCGAGTACCACCTCCTCACTATGATAGCACATGTGGCCTCATCAGCACCGCACATGAAGGTACTATATTCCTTGAGTCCAAATTGAGGCTTCTCTCCTGCCCCTAGGGAGGCCATAGATCCTAGTACATTAGGAGTGTCTTGTATACTTGAAGGCTCTTTCCCTCTCCTACTTGCCTTTGGAAAGGACATTTATGCTCCTGCTTTCCTCTCTCTCCCTATTGCCCAGCCAATGTTCCTCCCTGTTTGGATCTCAGTGCTTTGGAAATTCAAGCACCCGGCAACATGCTCAGACCTATTGGTGGGGCTACTGAGTTTGGGAGACCCCTCCCCCAACAAGTGAAATTTTAGGCAGTCATATCTAATGTTTCCTCCCTTCTCTATGCCCCCAGAGCTCCAAACGATGGTTGAGCATCACCTAGGGCAACAGAAGCAAGGAGAGGAACCTGAGGGAGCCACTGAGAGCACAGGGAACCAGGAGTCCTGCCCACCTGGGATCCCAGACACAGGCTCAGCGTCAAGGCCAGCTACCCCTGGGATAGCACAAAGTATGTACAAGCTGAGAGGGCCCCAGAATGCAATTCCCCAGCCTTGCAAGAAGACAGCTTTACTGACTGGGGGGAGGGGAGGATTCACAGCCTGGAAGAGATGGATAATAGCCTAAAGCCCAGTCAAGGACATAGATCTATTCCACATACCATGTGTTTGAATCACTTTGTCTTACTGTACACTAACACCTTGGATCCCAGGAATCTTGATGTGGCTGGGAAATGAGGAAACCATATTTGGCCCTGCAACGGAGCCAGGACTACAGTCCTACCTCCACCACTGGCCAGTTTACCAACAGAGCTGGTATCTATTTCATTGAGGTTGCCTTGAAGTCTTCCAATGAGTCTGGCTCAAAACCTGACACATACAAAACCTGCAATACAAGGAATGTAATGCCTGTGGTGTTAATCCACAGCCACGGTCCCAAATGAATCCCATTGCCAATTATGTGGAAGTGATACAGTGCACACACTGTGTGTTACATAACACACCCAGGAGAGCGTCCTGTAATCAAACACATGTTTTGTTTTGTTTTGTTTTCCTACAGTCCAGTGAATGGTCACACTGAGTGGGATAAGTAACAATATAGCCTCAAAGCAGTTCACATCAGGCTTAGCCCTACTTGAGTTTATACTCTAATTTGTTTTTTAACTTTTTAGAGGGTTTTGGGTTTTGTTTCATTTTTACTTTTAAATCTCTGGTTGGGGGGGGGGGTTGTGAAACTATCATAGTAACTGTGATGAGAAACCCTGGATGGCAGGGTAGATCTGTTCCCAGTGGGTCTTGGGGCCCCTTCTCAGCAGCTATAGCCCCTTTATAAGGGCTGGCTCTCTCTCCACCACCCACTTTCCCTTCCCTAGAGCCTGCAGAATCCACCCCCAAGATTCAGGAGCAGCGTGGTGTGCAGCCCAGCACAGAGGACCCCTCGGCTCACATGCCACCACTGGATTCCCAGGGAGCCAGCTTGGTAAGCCCCATGGGCTGGCCTTAGGGCCTGCCAGAGAGCAGGTGGTAGGGCCTAGTATTTAGAACCAGAGGTGTAGACAAAGGAGCAGCTTTATTTAGTCACGGAAAAGTTAGCCTTTGTGGTAAGAGGCCACATATCTCCTCTGACAAAAAAAAGAGAGGGGATTAAGTGGCTGCAGGAACGATCGAATCCCAGAGTTTGTTGTGTATGCCTTCTGGAACAGATGATGGAAGTAGGCCATGGATTTGATTTGATTTTTTAATAAAGGGCAGTTGGAACCAAAGTATTATGGGCTGAGGACAGAAAGACTCCCCAACCCCTACCTAGAAGAGAGAGGACTCAGACGGAAACGCACAGCAGGAGCTGCCTCATAAGGTGGACAGTTGGGTTGAACCAGAGGGAAGGATGAGCCTATGGCCCTTCAGTCACCTTCCCTTTCCTCCTCCCGCAACAGGTCTGAAAGGAGTTGGCATCCTGGGATCGCCACTGCAGTGTGGAAACTCATGGACACTGGATGTTTCTTAATCTCTTGTTTTTAAAAGTGATAAATTTGGTGTTAGGTCCTTGGTGCTCTCCTTCTTTCCAGCCTGGGGCTTCCTCCATCCCTCAGCTCCTGTCTGCACTCCACAGCCCCCACGCTCAGGACCAACTAGGGAAGGAAATAGGGAAACTGACAGAAGCCTAGCATTTACTTTCATAAAAAGAAATGGGAGTCTGGAAGTGGGAGGTCACCTCAATCAAGGCTTTCTTTCCTTTCTTACTGAGGAAAGCTCTGCCCACTTAGCAGGCCTGTACTCTGGGAGAGACTGCTGCACTAAAACGGAGGCCCTGACAAGCTAGGACTGTGCTATGGCACCGTCTGCTGGACATAAGTGGGAAGTGCACCCTGTCTCTAGACCCCTGAGAAAGAAGTATTTGGAACTGTCTGGCCTCCAATTTTGTGGCCACTGTTCCTTATTCCAACCTAATAGGAAAGATATCTGAGAATCCAGTGGATCTAGAAACCCAAAGGGCCACCTCCCCCCTTGTCCTACACACTGAGGTCAGGGTAAGACCAACACCATGCACAGATGGAGAAATGGCCTCTGATCCCAGCCAGGCTTCTCATGATTCTGATACTGATTTTCCCAAAGAATTAATTAGAGGAAGGAAGAAGGTAAGATTCTTTCACCATATTTGCTGCAGCAGTGCCACACAGTCAAAAAGAGCATAGCCTGGTTAGTGAAGGGCTGTGTGTCCCCAGATAGGCTTCACCTGGGTCTCCCTCCAACACTCAGGGTGAACACCATGCCAGAGTTGTGTCTAGCTCAGAAGAAGACAACTAAAGACGCGTGAGAGAACTTTTACCTTGTGAACACCACACACATCCAGCCAGTCTCCCTTCTTTATTGATCTCTGGCTATATCAGGGGCCAGGGAGACCAAAAGCATGGGGGAGTCACATGCGGTTCAGAGTGATAGGTCTAACGACCATGAAGATGGACTTCACGAGAGCAGGGCCCACTGTACAAATGCATGGCTGGTATTTACAAGAAAGGAGGAGGCAGTCACCTGGACTCGGCCTTTTCTTGGGTGAGGTGGGGCAAGGAGCCTGAGGACAGGAAGAGGCTCTGCCTGGCTGCACTTGCTCTGCGTGCTACAGAACAAAACAGCCCTGAGCCCCTCCCCATCTGCCTTCCATCCACCAGGGGCCCAGGGACGGGAATCTCTTGGTGGGCCAATTCTGGGAGAAGGGAGGCAGGAAGAACCCATTCTGTGACAACATGGATTCCTGGGTAATACCTCACCCCACTTGCACCAGGGCCAGCTGTACTCTCCTTCCTTTGCTCGTAAGATACATCCTGAAGGAAGACCTCAAAGCATTTACAGACATTGGTCGGATGAGAGCCTCCTAGTCCCCAGGGACAGAAAGGAGGCGAAGGGCCAGAGACCCAGGTAGAGCAAGTGACAAGCTTCTCGAGCCCAGACCAGCCCCAAATTCTTGAGGACCCTAGGAAAGTCTTCCCACAGACATAATCCCAATGGCTCCTCTCCTCTCCCAGCCACTGTCTGGGCATAGGAGAGAGGGAGTTTGCAAGGGAGTGGGGCTAAAGCAGTGCAAGTCTGGGGTCAAGAGGATGTCCCTCACCTCATCCTAGGAAGGTACCTGAAGGGACACCTGCCCTTCCCATGCAGGGCTTTGAAAACTGCCAGCTTCCTATCCTGTTCTGGCCCTTCCTTGGGAAACAGTAAGGGAAACCCAGACCTGCCAGCTAAGATCTGGGGTGGGGGCTGAGGGAACCCCCAAAATGTATTGCTTAGAAACTTGGAGGCAAGAAGGATGGGGAGAGCCAAGGGGGCTGGCATCTCTGACCCTCCCCTCCAGGCCATAGGAAGCCTGCAGGAAGCTCGCCCCTCCCAAGTAGCCACCTGGCCAGGAAGGGAGTCCAGAGGCAAGGGGTGGGCACAGTGACCATTGGGGACCTGTGATTCCCCAGGCTTATATCCCAATGGGTATTGGGTGGGGAGGGACCTTCCCTCACCCCACCAGCTCCAGCATTTGGCTTTCAGGTGGGCTATCTCTCCCACAACCAACACACTCCCTTGGAGCAGATGGGGGAACCAGTCCTGATGGATGGTGCTAATGACATCGAAGACGTTGGACTCAGTGAGGACCTGTGGAAAGAGGGGACACTTCAGTGCTATGTTCTTGAACGTCATCCCCAACCTGATCTTCCTTCTCCAAATCCCACCCAGTCCTCCCTTGGTCCCCAGAATAGCTGGATGCTAATGCCCTTCAGATGCATGGCAGCCAATGGTGTGAGCTGGGCTGAAATAAAAGTCACATTTATTCACTTGCCCTCACCGAGCCTTGTGCATAGACTGGTACCTGTTCCCTAATCTCATAAAGCGTGGCACATGTACCACCCTGTCTGTCCCTTGCTTCCCACCCATGCACTGGCTCAGTCTTCTGCCTCCAATTCTCTGCTCTTCTGCCTGGAAAGAGAAGGAGAGCATCCTGCCTTGCAGAGGTTGGAGATGAGCCACCGAAGCCAGGCTGGCTTGACTACCCTCCTGCCTCCTAGCTTACCTGGCCAGCGCCCAGTTCTCTAATCCAGATTGCCATTCTGGTTGTGCTCGTCTTCTGCAGGGGAGGGCGGGGCCTCTTCCTCACATGGGGATAGCTCATCAATGGACATCTGGTTGGTGATGCCTGCAGAGGGTTCCAGGGAAGCCGATGTTAGGCCAAGAAGCAGATTCTCCAGAACCGAGGTGTATATGAAGCAAACAAGGACTGACTCTCAGCTGCCTTCTGCCTCCAGGATAACCTCTACCCCTCTCACATGAAGAAGTTACAGGCCCTGCTCCCAGTGCAGCCGGAACTGTCAAGTGACCAGATCTCCAGGGTACCATTTGGAGATAGCCACAATGCGAAAGGAGTCCACCTATCATGTGCACAGGGTCCCAGGACTTAGAATAGTGTAGCTGTCCCCATCATCTCTCCAGCTTTCATTCTAGAACATCCCAAGCCATTCAACCAGTCAGCCTGTCCTGTGGCCTCCTATTTTAGTCTGACTGGCTCCATTCCCAACTCTAGGAGTCAAAGAGTTGCCTGGGGCTTAACAAAAAGGGGACTGCTGTTGTTCCACCAGCCAGCCCTAGAATGTTCTCACACACACACACACACACACACACACACACACACACACACACACACACACACGGATATATAACAACACCCACCACTTGCTGCCCGTTCCTTCCACTTCTGTTTATTCTCCTGAATGTACTTGGTCCAGGTGGAGCGGAAACTGATTACATCAGGGTTGGGGTCTCCTACATCTACATCTAAAGAAGGCTGGCGCCACTGGAAGCTAAAAACAAACACCCGTACAAACACCCAATTCCAGATGTGAGACCCAGCCCTCTTCCGAATCCAGTCTTGACCCTCAGCATGAAGGAAATGGAAGACCAGGAAAAGGTTGAGGCCGGAGTCCCCTTTTCCCTCTTCTAGATACCCTCAAATCTCTGTCTTCCGTAATTGCACCCCTCCCTCTCCACACTTAGTCTCCTGGTAAAAGGAAAACAAAAACAAGATTATCTGAAAGACAGTTTAAACCCTTAAAGAGGAAAGTAATGTGGGGGAGCCTAGGTGTGAGCCACACCCTTCTAGTCTCATCCTTCTGTGACAAGCAGAGGGGCTCCCAAACATGAAGCATCCCACCTCCTCCTGCCCCCTCCCATTTAGGCTGTGTCTCTCCTGAAAGAATCGTCTTTGTGCAGCCAATGGACCAGGATGTATGGTTACCCCAGCCACAGTCACCTAGGCTGACTTTTAGACTTGGAATCATCATCTGCCAAGGGCTGGACACTCTTCTCTGCCACATCAGTCAGCACAGAGAAGGTGGGCTCCACAATGAAGTCAATGAAACCTGCAAGCAGCAAAAATGTCTCACTTGGACTAGGCAGAGGCAAAGGGAGCATGGTCGTGAGCCCTGGCTGCAAGTAACAAAGCCTAGAGATGTGACCAGGAGCTAGAACTTAGCCACTGGGGACAACTTGAAGACATTATCTTTGTGATCCCAGAGAGACCCTGTCACAGAACCCCACATCCAGCCCAGCATCCTTGCCTCAACAACAAGAACAATCTGGGGACTTGGAGGCTGGAACAAGCCTAGCCAGGCCCAGACAGAGCTTTTCCTCTTCCCCCTAAAACTCACCTATCTGGGACTGGGCCACCAATGTGGAGGTGCGATCACAGAGTGGAGAGAAGGGCAGCCCCAGCTCTGCTTCCTTGTCACCCTGGGAAGAGAGGGTGCCTCAGGGTTGGGAGGGCTGCGGAGATAAGTGGCTGTGATGGGAGAAGAGGATGCTACCCCTTTGACCTGGCAATGAGGGCTGAGTAGAGAGAACCAGTATTCAATTCTGTGGGTAGAGACTTGACCCCACAGGCTTGGGATCAATTCAGGAGTGAAATGGAGCCAGGTGGAGCTCTGGAGTAGGTGTGGGAAGCTTGCAGATCAGGGGGTAGAAAGGCTCCACTGACAGGGTTACCTGGCGGAAGAACTCTTCCATTAGGGCCTTGGTCCAATGGCTGTGGACTGACCACTGCTTGGTTGGATGGCTGATGTCAGCAGCATGAAGCAGAAGAGATAGGGCCTTGGACTTGTCAATCCTAGTTAGGGCAAATGTTAAAGAAAGGGAAACTGATCTTCTAGGAAAAGGAGACCTTGGTCATCCCTCAACTTCCAGTTACACAAACACTCTTTTTCACATAATTCTAAACAGTCTACACACATGTAAACTCATCTGTATGTATAGATGTAGAAGCGCAGATCAGTAGCTGAGAACCCAAGCTCTTAGAATCCATGGCATGAATTTGACTCCTCCTCATATCTACCCCCCACTATTGTGAGACAAGTTCCGGATAGCATCCATATTTCATTTTCTTCAAGCCAAAAGTGAAAATAACAATCCTACCACATATTGAGTTGTTCCGAGAATTACATGATTTATAACAACTATTTCAAAGGTGTCTGACACATAATATGCACCCAATGACATTATTTACAATGGTAGTCATCATGATCCTTGTCATTAGTCCCCCCAACAATGTCCCACAGTGACCTCACAACCCCCATTCAGACACCATACACACAGGTCAACACACACCTCCCGGATACTGAGTCCATTCTCTCTTGCCCAC